CTGCTATAAATATTTTTGTACATGTGGGTCCTTTTCCCATTTGGATGATCTCTCTGGGATATAATCCTAGAAGTGCTATTGCTGGGTCAAAGGGTATGCACATTTTTATAGCCCTTTGGGCATAGTTCCAAATCTTCATAACTTTGAAGAACTTTGAAGAGGTGATAATCCTGCTGTACTCTTCCCTCCTCAGGCCTCATCAAGAGTATTGTGCTGACTTTTGGATGCCACTATTTAAGAAGGATAGAAACAAGCTGGAGAAATATCTGGAGGAGGGTAAAGATGATAAAGGGCCTTTAGTCCTTGTTACATGAGGATCATGTGTATCTTGGAAGAAAAGAAAAGACTAGGGGGACAGGAGGGGAGGGGACAGATAGCTCTCCTAAAGCATTGGTGGAGGACGAATTGGGCATGTTCTGTTGGACATCAGAGGGCAGAACCAGTGGGTAGAATTCTGGTGCAAAGTGGCAAATTTAAGCTTGAGGTCAGGAAAAACGTCCTAACAATTAGAGCCGTCTAAAACCAGAATGGATGGTGGTGTCCCCCTCATTTGAGGTCTATGAGCAGAGGGAAGATGACCACTTGTTAGGTATGTTCTAGTGAGGATTCCTTTCTGCCATGGGTTGGACTAGATGGTGCCTGAGGACCTTTGCCGCTCTCCAGTTCTGTGATTGTGAGTCAATGAGGGGACAGTAGAAGGATCGGTGAGTAGCTGCCAGGGCCTAAGCGAGGTCGCAGTCTTGCATTTGTAGTGAGAAATCACCTCTATTACTTTCTCCTGTGAAAATAGCCTCTGGGTAGGAATGGTGGAATCAGAAGGTAGCAGTTACTCTAGGAATGAGGATTAGCAAATCAGGAATGGTTGAAGATGAGGGTAGGGGTGGGAATAGACACGAATAAAACATTAAAGTGGCAGCCCATGGGGTCATGGTTGAGCTAGGAGGAGAGGCTAGAATGGGGAAGATGGACTGGGAGAGTAAGGGCAGATCTAGGGACCAGAGGTCACCATGAGGGTGGAGAGCGGCTCAGTGTGAGAGAGTAAAAATAGCTATTTATAGACCAATTTAAAGTTTATGAAAGGCCATGTGGTATAGTGGATAGAGAACTGACCTCAGGAGTGAAAAAGAACTGCTTTCAAGTCCTGCCCTTGACTCTCCTGGTTGTGTGACCATGGGCAAATGATTCCACCTCTCAGTGCCCTAGCAAACTCCAAAGGGACTACAAGTTGCAGAGAAGGTGCTAACCTGCATTGATGGAGGTAGTTTCCTCATCCTGAAATTTCCTATACTGGACAACAGGTCTAATCCCAATTCTCATCACTATCCTTACTGTTTACAAAGAATAGGAAATTGTTGGAAAACAGTATGGCAGAAATTAGGCACAGACCAGCATCTTAAGGTCAAAATGGGTACATGATTTAGACATAAAAGGTGATACCAAAAGCAAATCAGGAGAGCAAGGAATAGTTTGCCTGTCAGATCTATGGAGAAGGGAAGAATTTATAACCAAACAAGAGATAGAAAATATCATGAAATGCAAAATGGATAATTTTGATTACATTAAATTGAAAAGGTTTTGCATGAACAAAGCCAATGCAACTAAGATTAGAAGGAAAACAGAAAGCTGGGAAATGTTTTTTTGCTGCCAGTGTTTCTGATAAAGGCCTCATTTCTAAAATATGTAGAGAACTGAGTCAAATTTATAAGAATACAAGTCATTCCCTAATTGATAAATGGTGAAAGGATAAGAACAGGGAGTTTTCAGATAGAAATTAAAGCTATCTATAGTCATATGAAAAAAGTGTTCTAAATCTCTATTGATCACAGAAATGCAAATTAAAACAACTCTGAGGTACCACCTCACACCTATCAGGTTGGCTAATATGACCAAAAAAGGAAAATGATAAATGTTGGAGAAAATGTGGGAAAATTGGAACACTAATGCATTGTTGGTGGAGTTGTGAACTGGTCCAACCATTCTGGAGAGCAATTTGGAACTATATCCAAAGGGCTATAAAACTGTGCATAGCCTTTGATCCAGCAATACCAATACTAGGTCTGTATCCCAAAGAGATCATAAAAAATGGAAAAGGTCCAATATGTACAAAATTATTTGTAGCAGCTCTTTTTGTGGTGGCAAAGAATTGGAAATTGGGGGGATGCCCATCAGTTGGGGAATGGCTGAACAAGCTGTCGTATATGAACATAATGTAATGCTATTGTGCTAAAGCAATGATGAGCAGGTGGATTTCAGAAAAACCTGGAAAGACTCACATGAACTAATGCTGAGTGAAGTGAGCAGAACCAGGAGGCCATTGTACACTGTAATAGCAACATTGTTCAAACTTTGTTTGACTTAACTCTTCTCAGCAATGTAACGATCTAAGACAATTCCAAGACTCATGATGGAAAATGCCATCCACATTCAGAGAAAGAACCATAGAGTCTGAATGCAGATGAAAGCATACTACTTGCTCCCTCTTTTTTTCTTTCTTTTGGCTTCCCCTTTTGTTCTGATTCTTCTTTCACAACATGATTAATGTGGAAATATGTTTAATATGATTGTACATTCATGGTATACATCAGATTGCTTGCTGTCTTGGGGAGGGGGGAAGGGGAGGGGAAGGAGGGAAGGAGAAAAAATTAGAACTCAAAATCTTATAAAAGTGAATGTTGAAAACTATCTTTACATGTAATTGGAAAAAATAAAATACCATTGAATGGGGGGGAAAAATTTCCCCCATTGAGATCATTGTGCACAATAACAGCAATGTTGTAATGATGACCGACCATAAAAGAGTTGGCTTCTCTGATTGATACAATGATCCAAGACCATTCCAAAGGACCCATGATGAAAAAAATGCTATCCACCTCCAAAGAGAGAATTGATGAATTCTGAGTGCAAATTGAAGCATAATTTTCTCACTTTCTTTATTTTTCTTGCTTTTGGGGGGAACTATGGCTAATATGGAAATATGTTTTGCATGATTTCATGTGAATAATTGATATCATTTGCTTGTCTTATCAGTGGGTGTGGGAAGGAGTGGGAGGAAGAGAGAAAATTTGGAACTCAAAATTTAAAAAGAAAAGAATGTTAAAAAATAAATTAATTAAAAAAATTTTAAATAGGAAGCTGCTCCTGGGAGGGGAATGTCAAAATTCTGAATCTTGGAGGTGGTGCCCTTCTGAGAGATGGTGAAGGCTGAAGTATGACCATACCTGTGTGTGTCTGGAGGAGGAGAAGGGGGTTGTTGAAGTTGAAGCCGAGGAATTGCATGGTCAGGTTGGCAGAAGAGTCATTGATATGTACATTGAGGTGCCTGTGGAAGATGGCATAAAGACACGACTTGACCTGGGCATGAAATTCACTGAAAATGTTGGGTAAATGTCCTGGAGGTTGGTGGCTGACAGCAACAAGTATGGGGAGGAGATGGTATAAATGGATTGCAGGAACCTCAAAACTGAAGGATGGTTGGTGGTTGAGGAATAATCAAAATCCAGCAGGGGTGGAGGGAGAACAGGGAGTTTATTTGCTCCTTCTCTTAGTTCTGTGAGTCAGATTAAAGGAGGGGATGCAGTGGGAAAGTGGAAAGTGAGTTGGTTGAGATGGATGAAGACAAAGAGGGGTTATTGGGAGAAAGAAAGGATAGTTGAACTGAGTGGAGGGGAAGAGAGATATGAGGGGAGCAGGAAGACTGATTAGAATAAGATGTTTGGATGGTAGGTAGCAGAGGGTTACAACTTGGGAAGAACACTGAATTGTGTGAATTCATGCACTATTATACTAATGGTGAACAAATGTCTTAATTTTTAGTTTGTAAAACAAAGCAAAGCAACCCCCACCACCACCACCCCCTAACCCCACTCCCTGCCACCACCACTGAATTTGATAGAATTGAATCAGCACTGGGCTAAAGCTAAGATTAAACTTAATAGGAATGCACCTATAGTCTTACACGAATCAGAAAATCAACTTTCCAAGCATCAGACTAGGGTGGAGAGGATGACCACTTGTGATAGTGTAGATTAGTTTTATGTTTGGATTGGACTGGGTGACCAATGAGTTCTTTTCCAACTCAAAAATTCTGTGATTCTGTAAGTCTGGAGTCAGAAGCCCTGGGTTTGAATCCTGCCACTGCTTCTTATCTGGTTGTCTTTGGGTAAGTCATATCACACTTCGGCTTCTGAGTCCTCATCTAAGCAGTAAGATGCTCGGTTTGATGTGTCACTTCTCTTCTTGCTCCAAAGTCTGAACTAAGGCATAAGACTCGAAGCTTGTGTCCAGGAAGGCAACTTGATGGTATGTGCCACAGGCAGAACTCCCCCCAACCGTGGCTTTGGGGAGCTAATGTGCCTCTGAGTCTAAAAGAGCATTTAGAACACTACTGCCCTGTCTAATGGGTTGCCAGGGTCTCACCCTTCCATGGGCATCAGCCTCCTGGATTCCATGAGTGGTGTCCCAAGCAGGGAGAGGATAGTCCAGACAAAAGCACAGCATGAACAAAGGTAGGAAATAAGGAGGGGGAACCCAGTGTATGTGGAGCAGAAGTCAGGGGAGATAAGGTTGGAGAGGTAGGTTTGGGTTAGATTATGGAGGGCCTTGAATGCCACACTAGCCATGGTATCATGAAAAGCTTACTGGACTTGGAATCAGAATACAGGGTTCTGAAACATGTTATACAGCCTTCTTGTGCACTTAGCATGTGCACTACAGCTATCTGTATTGGTCATCCTGTTTCTCTCCTCCCACCCTATACAGTCAGCCCTCACAATTTCCCCAAGCCCAGGAAGGTGCTCATACAGAGTAGGCATTTTATCAAATTCTACTGAGTGGCCAGCAATTGGAACTGATTATGTCAAGTGTCAGAGGCAAACGCTTCCTCCATGAAGGTGCCTGAAGCTGCCTTGGGTCTCCTGCCCCTCCCCCACTGCTGGCCCCCCTTATCTCCCCCTCAAGGCCCCACCCCCTGTCACTACCCGCCACTTCTCCCAGGCCCTCTGAAGGGATAGAACCCACTGCTGCCAGCTGTGTCCGGCTGCTGCAGCTGCTGCTCCAGCTGTGGCCTCTGGCAGAAACTTTTCTGCATCCTCCTCCCCCTCCAACTGGGGGTAGGGAAGGAAGAAAGAAGAGCCCCCCTCCTCTCAAACTCTGAGAGAGAGGTGGGGGGAGGTGCTAAGCAGGCCCGGGGCCAGCATGGAACGAGCTGGGCCCCCCCACTGGCCTGGAATTGGGTCCCTCTGTGTCCTACTCAGCGCAGGGGCTGCCTGGGCAACCCCTGCACCCCAGTGGGAACAGAACCATGAGCCGGGGCTGGAAGGTCCATTGTTTGAGAGCAAAGGTAAGCCCTAACATTGGGAGTCCTCCCTCTGTCTCCAGCCTCATCGCCTCCTTGGTGGGCGGTACTAGAGGGCTTGAAATGAAACCAGGAATCTGAGCACCCAGCTGGAGCCAGAGCCATCTCAACCCCCATCCTCCTCCACACAACTTCCCCCCGCCCCCCACCTGGCCTGGGGAAGAGCTGAACAGGATCTCCTAGAGAAGACTTCATCTTCTGAGGTGGGAAGGGGAATCAGGAGGCTTTGTGGGTGGAGGGGCATGAGGAGAAGATGAAATTTGTAAACAGTGACTGTGTGTTTTCATGCATGGGCATACTTATTCCCTGTTGCCCTTTCCTCTCACTCTGCTGTTGGCCTTATCTGGGTGGAAAGGGTGCCTGTAGGGCCTGATATGGTCCCTTCCTGCCTCCTCCTCCCTTCAAGCCTGGGGGAATCAGTTTTGGGGCTTTCTGAGAGGCTGTCCTATGCACTGGCAAGAAAAGTGAGAGCCCTGGGCTCCAGTCCCAACTTCACCAGTAGCTATGTGACCTTGGGCAAGTCAATTTTCTTCCTAGAGCCTCAGTTTCCTCTTCTATAAAATGGGAGATAAGAATCCTTGCACTCACTACTCCGTAGTCAATGTGAGCTATTATTATCATGCAGTGGAAAGAACGATGTTTGGGGTCACAGGCCAGGGGATGGAAACCCTGGTCTGCTATTTATTAGGTGCATGACCTTAGATAAGCAGCTGCCTAATGCCTCAGCTTTTCCCATTGCAAAGTGAAGAAGATGGACTATCTCCCAAGCCCCTTCCAGCTTTTCCTTTGGGGGTGGGGGAGGCATGAAAGGGATGGTGATGAGCGATAGGACTCAAGCCCCAGGCACTTGGCAGGAAGAAAGCTCACTTGTTTGTTGCTCCGAGAGCCCATTTTTGAGCTTAGCCCTCCCTTTCTGCCTAGACTCAGGGAAAGGACAAAGACAGAGGGGACAGCCAAAGGTCCAGCAGGCTTGAAGACACACTGGGAGTCTGGGAAACAAGTCTGCCAGGGTCTCTACTATGAATGTTGAAGGTGGGGGGTGGGCTTCATACAGTCTGAGGTATAACAGGAGCAGAGTTCAGTGCCCAAGACAGGACCCCAAGGGGGTTACAGCTGCTGATGTTTGCAGCTTCCCACCCCTACTGTCCAACAGTCCAGGTGTAGGAGCAGAGGGTCTACTGTTCATAGCATTGGAGAGATGATGGTTATGTTCCTGATAGCAAGGGGGGATGGGGTGAGAGGAAACAGGTCCTTACATCCAGGCTTTCTTATCAGCCTGGTCACACGGTGGGCTGGAGGAGGGGGGCAGCTGAATGAGACACACAGAGGGCTGCTTGGGCTAAATGAGTGGGGATCATGGAAGAAGAATGTGGCCTTGTGCAGCAACTGTAGGGCTTGAGGGGCTGCCATCAATTAACCAACCAATCAAAAGCATCTACCCAGGACCACGAACTGTGCTAATCACTGGGGGTATGAAGAAAAAGTGAAAAATTCCCCACCACCCAGGGAAATAACATGTGCCCATCTAACCGGAGTTATGCAGTCATGCGGCATCAACTGCTGATTGCCTTTCAGACTTCTAAATTGCTTACTTATCATCTTCATTCTCATCATCCTGAGTTCCAGAGTAATCCAGAGGGTATATCTGGATAGTTTTTCATTCATTAATATAATTTCAACCTTTTCTTCATTAATTAATCAGTTGACTCAGAGCCCCACCTCAGTTTATTAGATATTATTTGATTAACTGGAGAAACCACTTTCCCCATTGTCATCTCTGTATCAAAACCGTAACTGTCCTAGGATTAATTCAATATCAATAATTCACCATAGGATATATTAAAACATAATCAATAATAGCATAAAGACTTGAATAGTTACAATATTTTCAGCTTAAAGAAATATCACAGGCAGTCACCTCCAATCCTCACTGTAATCATAGATGATTTTTTAATTTTCAGTTTTCAGTTCTCTCAAGGTGCCAAGCAAAGGCTCTTCTCAAGAATTCTCGTCCTCCTCTTCACAAAATAAAGGTTAAAATAGTTCCATCAAGAGAGGTCTCATGTAACTGACATGAAAAAATAAAATACTATTAATTACCAAAAAACCAAAAAACCAAGAGTTCTTAACCTGCGATCCATAAATATGCTTTTAAAGTGTTTCAATAATTGTAATTCAATTGGTCTCTTTTGCTAAAAAAAATAAAAAAGAAAGGAAAGAAAAACTGGAAAACAATCTTTTCAGCTTTTCCAAAGCCATCACTCTTTCCTCCCAACTGAGGGTTAAAATGTCTATTTCCACAAGATTACATTTTGGCCCTTAGAACTACAGTAACTCTAGTCTCTGTAGGAGAGGCTTTTGAAACAAGTGTCGCAGTAAGCCAGATAAAATGAATACAATGTAGTTTGGGGAAGGAAGAGCTTCATGAGGAACGTGTAGTCTTGAAGAGAACCAGGGATCTCGAGAAGGGGAGGATATTCCGAGAGTGAGGGACAGACAACGCAAAGGCACAGAGATGAGAGATGATGAGTCAGATAAGAGTGTCATGTGTGAGGAACAGAAAGGAGGCCAAAGGGATGGCTAGACTACAGCCCCTGTGGAGGGGAGTGAAGGGGAGTAAGAAGACTGGAAAGTTAGGAAGAGGCCAAGTGAGGAACTGCTTTAAATGCTGAAGAGATCTTAGAGGGAATCAGAAGCCACAGGAGTTTACTCAGTGGAGGATACGGTCATCTAAATTTTGCGAAAATCACTTTGTCATCTGTGTGGTTTGGCATTTCCAGGCTGGAGGCAGGGAGACCAAATTGGGGTGAAAGCAACAGCATGCATGATAAGAGATGAGCGCCCGACTTTGGCAGCAGAAAGCCTTCTTTCCCTGGGCTCCAGAGGAAGGGGGTGGGATGCGGAGGGCCTCCTCCTGCTTTTTTCTGGCCTGCCCACTGATGTGCCCTTCCATCTTTCACCACCCTGACACCCCCATTCCCCACTGCAGTAACTCTGCTGTTGGCTGAGGAGAAAGAGAAGCCCATATGCTTCACACAGAGATTGGAGGATCTGGTCTGCTTCTGGGAAGAGATGGCCAGCTTGGGATCCAGGAACTACAGTTTCTTCTACCAGTTAGAGTGAGTCCCAGCACATCTTTTGTGCCCCCCCCCCGCCCATTCCCACCCTTAACTCCCTGATCAGAGGAGTTCGTCAGAGGGGGAGGGGAGACCTAGGGGACATTGCTTCCACTCTTGGTGACTATAGCACCTGTGTGTCCCTCCCCTCTGTCCCTGTGTCTACACAGGCAGGATTTTTGGAAACCCTGCATGCTGAAGGTTGTCTGGACGGGAAGGGGCACCATTCGCTACACTTGCCCGTTCCCCCTGTCTGATGCCTCCAGCTTCATCCCACTAGAGCTGAAGGTCACAGCCACCCCCAACGGCACAGAGCTCCATCGGACCATCTACATCAATGAAGTAGGTATGGCTTCCAGAGGGCCCTGCCCCACTCCCCTCCCTACGCTCTAGCACAGAAAGGACCATATGGGCACCAATCCGGCTCTCCTGGTTTGGCTGAAGGGCCATACCCTCTATGCCAACTCCCTGGTTCTGGTTCCTGGGGAGGTCTGGGCCCTCAGTCTGCTGCCAGCAACTTGTTTGTTTGCAGGTTTCCTACATCTCTCATACCCCTAACCCTGTGCCCCTCTCAGTGTTTCTGGACCCACCCTCTGGCTTAACAGTGGAGCAGATGGAGACCCCCAGCCAGGTGTCCCTTCACTGGCTCCCACCCCCCATGGCCCATGTGACCAAGGACATCCACTACGAGGTCAAGTACTCAGAAGCAGCTGGCACCATGGAACAGAGGGTGAGAACCTATGCCCAGCCTTTTGGACTCCTTTACCCTCCACCCCCACCCACTGCCTTGCCTGCCCTCCTCATGGCTCTCTCCCTATCCCGCAGGTGGACATCCAGGAAGGCAGGACAGATTGTGTAATTGCCAACCTCCGTGGGCACACTCACTATACCTTTACTGTTAGGGCAAAGATGGCAGAGCCCAGCTACAGTGGCTACTGGAGCTCCTGGTCCCAGCCAGTCACAGTGTTGATAGCTAGCGGTGAGCCGAGAGAGAGGGGAGGGAGGAAAGGAGGGAGTAGTGTGAGGTCTCAGTTTGTGACCAGTGGGGTGGAAGAGGGATTCTGGCTTGACACTCCTCCTCTTTCCCTCCCCAGAACTGGACCCTCTGATCCTGAGCATGTCTGTGATACTCACTATCATTCTGCTCTTGCTAATCATCTTGGGTCTCCTCTCCCAGCGCAGGTAAGCCCCCTCTCCCTGCTCTCCCACCCCAGGGAAGCAACACTGTGGTGAAAAGAATGATGGTCCTGGAGTCGAGGACCCGAGTTCTGATCCCTGCATGACCTTGGGGAAGTCATTTAACCCGAAGGGTGTCAGATTCTGGGTTGAGAGGATCGTACTCAAAGGTGTCTAGAGTTGGCCCAGCGGCCCAAGCAGGCCCTTCCAGCTTTGTTTTTCCTCCCTCCCCTCAGGTTTCTGAAACAGATGTTTTGGCCAGGCATCCCTAGTCCAGAGCATGGGTTTGAGGGCCTCTTCACCATCCACAGAGGCAATTTCCAGGTAGGTGGTGAAGCCTGGGCCAGACTCTGCTCTCTCCCCTTGGGTAGGCCTGCAAGGCCTCCAGATCCCAGGCTCCTGGGCTGAGAGCCTCCTTGTAGCCAGGCCCTGAGGCCAAGCATCCAGAGCGGGCTCCCTGGGCTAAGCTCAGTGTTATTATTGCAGCTGTGGCTGGGACAGAGCAATGCCTGCTTGTGGTGGGGGCCACTTGGCGCTCACCTGGAGGAGCCACCGGCCAAGCTGGAAGTACTCTCTGAGCGCCACTGGGTGGCCCCTGCTGAGCCAGCCCGGGAGGAGGAGCCCCTGCTGGTGCCAGAGGCCAGCCAGCTGGCCCAGGGAGCCCAGGACGACTACCTCGTGCTGGACACAAGGATGCTGCCCCACAGTCCAGTGGCTGGGCCGCTGGAGCTGGGCCCCTGCAGCCTTCAGGGCTCAGGCAGCAGGGAAAACAAGGTCCTGGAAACTGAGGGGGACCCAGTTGTGGAAACAGATGCCAAGTCTGTTTCCTCTCCCACGGCCTCAATCTCAGCCCTAGAGCCTGAGCAGGAAGAACAGGTGTCGGCCTCCAACTTTGAATATACCATCCTGGATCCCAGTTCTCAACTGCTGTGTCCTCGAGCCTCCCCACCCTCCCCACCCCCTAGGCCCCCTGACCTTAAGTATCTCTATCTTATGGTGTCAGACTCTGGCATCTCAGCCGACTGCAGCTCTGCGGGCTCCCAAGGGGCCCCTGGCAGTTCACCTGAGGGCCCCTACACCAACCTCTATGAGAACAGCCTTCTCCAGCCCAGCCCAGAGCCTCTGCCCCCAAGCTATGTGGCTTGTTCCTAGTGGGCAGCCTCAGGACCAAGGCTGGCAGCTCTCCTAGGTGCAGCTGCAGGAAGGGAGGAGGAAGGGGGCATGCTTCCTTCTCCTTCCTTCCTCATTCCTCCCAGAGGGCCATGGGGGGCAGGGACATGGGAGGAAGGAGGTTGGCACAGCTGCAGGGCACCATGGCCTCTGAGGACTAGGGGTGGGGGGACGGGGGAAATCACTGCCCAGCAGGCCCTGCTTTGCCCTTTTATATATATTTTTGTAATAAATTTATTTTCTTTCCATGGGAGTCACATCTTCTGAAGAAAAAGGTGAAAAGAGGACTTGACTGTAAATGGGAGGGAGGCTGGAGAATCATGAAGGCCAGGTGTCTCCAGGAGGGAGGACAGAACAGCCAGGGGAGGGGGTACTGAGGAAGTAACATGGGGTCCCTTCCTTTCTCTGGGACTTGGTTTTCTCCTCTGTGAAATCAGGGTAATGGGCAGGATGGTGATCTCAGGTACCTTCCAGGGCAGAATGTTATGATCCTAGAAGTGGGGATGAATGAGGCTGGAGGGACAGTATCAGGCCCAGGAACAAGGACCACTCCCACCCACCCTCACCCCGTCCAAAACTTCCAGGGTCCATCTCGGCCTGGGACGGTGGTAAGGCCCGATCAGAACATCATTTATTCCATGTGAGAAGAAGGGCAAGGTCAGCTCACCTTCCTTCCCCCCCCATGCCCTCCACTGCCCAGGCTCCACAGCTCCTTCCACACTCCTAGCCCGCCGCCCGGTGAGGAAGAAGCCACATGGAGCATGGTGACAACCTCCTCACCCCCGTGGCCCAAGCCTAGGAGGCTTGTTGGGGATATTACAGTGTCACAGCATTTTACCCAATGGTGGCAAGAGGGCACAGCTATCAGGATCCAACTGGACTTACGCCCACGGCAGTGCCTCTGCCCACCTCCAGACAGCTGCTCTCAGACACAAAGGCAATGTGGCTGGGGAGAGACAAGGTCTCATGAAGGCTGCCTCCATCTCAGCTGGGGCTGCTGGACTCAGCTTTCTGAGGTGGGTGCTGGGATGGTTGGCGGCTCACTTGGGAAATGGCCATTTCGCCATCATGTCCAAAACTCAAGCACCATTCCTGCTTGGGGAAGCCTGGCCCACTGGAGAGGCGGGCCCTGAAGCACTGTTCAGAGTGCTGAGGCCATGCTCCTGCCAGGTCTGGGGGCTCAGGCTCTAGCCAGAGGCACGTGGGCAAGTATCTCTGGAGCACTGCCAGTTGGAGGGCGGCTGCCTCCAGCTCAGCCTCAGCAGGGCCTTGCATGGTGACCAGGAGTCCGCAGCCACTGCCCGAGCAGCCTGAGAAGTGGGCGGCCGTGTCCACCAGCAGGGCTGCCAGGTGGGCACATGCCTGGGCTCCAGAGGTCTCTGCCAAGTACTCGTCTATCCCGTCCAGCAGCAGGAGGGAGGGGGGCTGGGCTGCTCTCTCGTGCATGGAGCTCAGAAGCTGTAGCAGCTCCCGCAAGGAGGGTGGATACAGGAAGTGGATTTTCTGAAAGAGAGGAGGCAAAGGGACAAGACAGTAATGGCTGGCCTGTATGCGCACTTTAGGGTCTGCCAAGACCTTTCACAGGTGATCTCCCAGATCCTCACAGCAACCCTGGGAGGTGGCTGATGCCATCATTGCCATTGGTAAGGATGGCCATGCCACTAGCAAGTCCCTGAGGCAGGGTTTGACCTTACTCCAGGTCCGGCGTCAGCCTCAGGGAAGCTTCCACTGTGCCCACTACGAAACATAATTGAAGCAGGTCAGAGGGGGAAAAAAATCCCAAATGTCAGAATTGCAAGGGAGCCCTGACCACGGAGCTTCCAGTGGCCCCATCTCCTAATAAGCCAAGCCCAAACTGCTTAGCTCAGTATCCAAAGCTCTGCAATAGTCAGCCTGCCCTCCTCTCCCTTCCCACAAATTTAGATTCACCCCAGGCCTTCAACGAAAAACTTCTTTTATCTTCCCCAATGTAATCCAAATCCTACCCATTCTTCGTGGCAGAGACCACAAACCCGGCCTCATTCCTTGCCTCAGGCCGCAAGGATACGCCCTATATGCTCACAAGCTGAGGCGCTCTCACCTCTCATCCTTTATTATACACACCTATTAGTCATCATATGTATACTTCATCCAGTCAATTAAATTCCACAAACATTAGGTAGATACCTACTATGTGCAAGTCATGGGAATAGGTTCTGAGGATATAGAGAAAAAAATGACAAGGAGTACCTGAAGGGAGCTTACCTTTACACAGATGGTGTCTCATTAAAATTAGAATGGGAAGGGGAAAAAAAGAGAGAAAGCTAGAGAGAAGTAAACATTTTGAAACTCCCACTTTGGGGGGGAAGAGTGGGGATGGGGGAGCTCTAGAAGGATGGAGAAAGGTCCCAGGGAAGATGAGGGGGAAAACCTTTCAGGAATGGTGGCTAGAACACAAAAACGTCCAGAGGCAAGAAGAAAGAGCCCATCTAGCCAGAGGAATGGCCAGCCAGTGGTTCACTTTCACTGCAACAGGGGTTAAGCAGACAAGACCAATGTGACACATGGCTGGGAGGGTAGTTTGAAGCCTGGTGGGGGAGATCCTTCGGAGCAGGGAAGTGACAAAGAAGATGATTTTGGCCACTGTCGGGGGGACAGATTAGTGAGAGGGGCAGGGACTGGAGGCAGAGAGACCAATTTGGGGGTAACAGTCCAAGTGAGAAGTGATGGGGGGCACTGCACTAGGGTGGTGTCTGTGTGAATGGAGCCAAGGGGATGGATTTGAGAGCAGCTTTGAGAGGATTTAGCACCTGACTGGGGGGAGAAGGGGGAGAAAGAAGAGTCAAAAGTGACTTGGAGGTTTTGGGACCAGGTGACTGGAAAGAATGGGGGTGCTAGCAACTGAAACAGGGACACTGGAAGGTGGGGCAGGTTTAGCGGAGAAGATAATGAATTCGTTTAGGACAGGCTGAGTTTGAAGCATTTGTGGGATGTTCAGATAGACATGTCCTGAAGGCAGTTGGGGATGTGGGAGTGAATCCACAGATTAGGGCTGGATATCTAGATTTGAGGGCCTTCTACACAGAAGCAATAATTAAACTCATGGGCACAGATGTTTGCCAAGGGAGAAGGAAAGGGGACCCAGCACAGAGCCAGGGGACGGGGGTTGGGAAGAACACTGTGGGGGGAGAAGGTGATAAATGATCAGGAACTAACAAAGGAGAGCAGCTAGGCTGGGGGCAAGAGTGACCAGAAGAAGGCACTGGTGGAAGGGGTGGAAAATAATAGCATCTACCTCCTAAAGTTATTGTGAGGGATCCAATGAGATAACATATGTAAAATGCTTTGCAAACTTTAAAGCCCTACATAAAGACTAGCCAGCTATTATTAACATGGGGGTGGGGAGGGGCTAGGTAGCTTAACTCGGAAAAACAACAGCAACAACAACGTGGGATTTTGGTAGACCAAGGGAAGATAAAGGAAAAAAAATCAATCTTTAGTGGTTGTGTAGGTAAGAGCACCCTTTATAACGGACTGGGCTGAAATCCCTTTGAAGGGGCAAGGGAGCCATGCCTGGGATTTGACTGGCCGGAGGAATTCGGCAGGAATGATTGGTTTGACTTCCTTGCTTCCCAAAGGCATAAAAGGGGGCAGCTAGGTGGCGCAGTGGCTAGAGCTCCGGCCTTAGAGTCAGGAGGACCTGAGTTCAAATCTGGCCTCAGACACTTGACACTTACTAGCTGTGTGACCCTAGGCAAGTCACTTAACCCCATTACCTCACCAAAAACCAAAAACCAAAACAAACAAAAAAAAAACCCAAAGGCCCAACCTATGTGGAACTGGTGCTTCGGGGGTTTCAGCGGTATTTCTGTCACTCTTTAGGTTCCCCTTCTTGGCCCTGTGCTGCCGATTGCTGGCATGAATGAGGAGGTGGAGGGGAGTAGAGTTTTATTTTGAATTTAATTAGGAATTTCTCTTTTTTCATCTTATCACAAGTAAGGTCGTTTTTATTTCATTTTATGAGGACTCACTACTCCTACCCCTGAGACTGAGTCCCTGCCCTAGGCACCACGCTTTAGCAAGGACACTGAGAAGCTGAGGAACATACCCAAGAGGGCATGCACGACCAGGGATGGGTCAGGGGTCTGGGATCATGCGCCGTGAGCATCCTGCAAAGGAGCTGGGAACGTTTAGCCCAGAGAAGAGAAGACGAGGGGGGCGGGGCAGGGGATGGGGCGTAGACGTGAGAGTCACCTTCGAGTGCATAAAAAGCGGTCACATGGGAGTAGAGTTAAGATTGTTCTCCTCAGCTCTACGGGCTAGAAGTTGGAGCAAAGAGGAGACAGTTTTAGAGGGGCAGACCTAAAGGGAAATGTGACCAAGAGAGCTCTCCCAAAGAGGAAAAGGCTGCCTCCGGAGGGAGGGGCCTCTCCCTCACGGGAGGTCTTCATGCAAAGGCAGCATGAGCCCTTCTGGGGCACATCCCAGAGCAGGTCCTTGTGCAGTTGTGGGATGGACGAGGTGGGGCCTGAGATCCCTTCCACCTCTTAAGACTCTATCGAGAGGGTTCTAGCAGAGGATGGAGGACTGGGATGGATTTAAGAACTGGGGCTCATAGTGAGGCCAGAGGAGCATGTTAGCAAGCGTGAGGCCATGAGGGAGGTATTGGGACAGGAGACTGTGATCAGCAAAGGGGTGATTTAAGAGTTTTATTCAATAAACATTTACTAAATTACAACTCTGTGAAAGGCATTCTGCTAGGTGCTAGGGGCATAGAGGTAAAAAGAACAAAGTCATGCCAGTCCACAGGGAGCTTAGATGCTATTGAAGGTATACAGCATGTACGAAGAGAGCAAATACAGTCACTTCAGTAGGGAGAAAGCACTAATGACTGGCCTTACGTCAGCACCAGAACTAAGCCTTTTTGAGGGAAGCAGAGTCGGAGAGGGTGGACATTTCCAGGCATGGAGGCAGTAGCCTAAGCAAAGTCCCAAGAAATGGAATACCAAGTTTGGGGAACAGCTGGTGGTCCAGTCTGGCTGGCAAATAAGGCTGAAATGGTCAGTGGGAGCCAGAGGTCACAGAGCTTTGAATGGCAGGCTGAGAAGTTTGTACTTGATCCTACAAGCAACTGGGAGACAGAGAAGACTTCTGAATATGAAAATGACATGATCAGATTGGGATCTTGGGAATGTCAATTTGGCAGCTTTGTGTAGGGGAGACTGGAGAGGGGACAGATTGGAGGCAAGGAGACCCATTAGGAAGTTACTGCTAATCTAGGCAAGAATGAATGAGGGCCTGAAGTCAGGTGATCACTGGGTAATGAGAAAAAGGATAGATATATGCAAAAAAAAAAAAAAAGATGAGAGGATAGATGTGAGAGATGTTTTGGAGAGAAAAATCTCCCCAATGATTGGATATGGGAAGGTAAGGGAGAAGAAAGGGTCAAAGATGACATCAGCATGACTGGAATGATGGCAGCTCTCTCAACAGAAATAGGGAAGTTTGGAGTAAGAAGGGTTAGGAAGGGGAAATGTCATGAGTTCTCTTTTGGACTCTTAGTTTGAGATGCAAACGGGATCTCCAGGAGGAGATGTCCAGCATGTGGCTGGTAATGCAGGATGGGGAGATTAGACCTGGACAGATAGGACTGAGGATAGTGAATCCATGAAATGGGCGAGATCACTGAGAGTGCAGAGAGAGGAGGGTCCAAAACAGACCTCTGGGGGAATATTCCACACTTAGTGGGTAGAAGATAGATGATGATAAACTAGCACAGGGGTCTAAAAAGGAGCAGTCAAGCAGACTGGAGAAGAATCAGCATAAAGCAGGCCTGCACAACCTGCCAAAGGATTTCAGGCAACCTGAGAAAAATGTAGAGGATGCCACAGGTTGTGCAAGCCAGGCATAAAGCAAGGTCACAGAAGCGAAGAGGAGGTGGGCCCAAAGTTGCAGAGAGGGAGTGAGCGGTTAAGAGATCACTAATAAAGTGTTCATGTTCAGACCCTGCCAACATAGGAATTTATTTTCCTTGATTAATAAAAACTTTTTGCAAAGTGCTTTCCAAATATTATCTTACATGATTCCCCTCAACAACACTGGGAAGTAGGTGTTATTATTTTCCTCATTTTACAGATAAGAAAAGGCATATAGGCAGCTAGATGGTGCTAGATGGATAGAGAGATCTGAGTTCAAATCTAGCCTCACACACTTCCTGGCTGTATGACCTTGGGCAAGTCACTTAAGCTCTATCTCAGTTTCCTCAACTGTAAAATGGGGGATAATACAACATCTATTACTCCCTGGGTTGTTATGGGGAATCATATGAGATAATATTTGGAAAGTGCTTAGCACAGTGCCTGGCACAGAGCAGGGACTATATAAATGCTAACTATTCTTCTTCTTAAGAAACTGAGGGCAACAGAGGTTAAGTGACTTGCCCAGGGCCACACAGTGGAAAGTGTCTGAGGCTAGATTTGAACTCAGGTCTTCCTTACTCCAAGCCCAACACTATACATATTTGTTTGAAGGGTTTTGTTTTTATTTTTTTTTTACATTTTTTTAATTGGGGGAAAGGAAAGAGTGGAAGAGAGGGAAAGGGGGGGAGAGAGGGGGAGAGAGAGAGAGAGAGAGAGAGAGAGAGAGAGAGAGAGAGAGAGAGAGAGTTTATGTGTGTGGTAGAGGGAGGAATAAGGTAGCCAAAAACGGTTATTAAAATATCTTTTTTAAAAAATGTACGGAAGACAGCAGAAGGAATGTCAGAGAGTATCACAGAGAAATGAGAGCACTTTGAAAGTTACTTGCTGAATTTATTATAGAAATAAAAAGCAAAGCAAGCTAGTTTCATGTACAATCATCTTTTGTTCTAATATACAGAAATGACCATTTTATTTGGTGTTTGTCAAGTTCAGAATATTTTTTCTTAAGAAAAAAAAGAGCTCATCACACTTTTGGAGAGAGCAGTGTCAGTCAAGCGTTTGGGCTGGAAACGAGGTCAAAAGGGGTTGAGAAGTGGGAAAAGAAATGGAGTCAAGGACTATAGACCATCAGGGTTAAACTCAAGGCCATATGTCAACTTGGAAAATCACAAATTCACATTATGTTGTATTTTTAAAATTTATTTTGTTAAACATTTCTCAGTTATATTTTAATCAGGTTCAGCCCCCACTGGGGAGGTTTGCAAGTCACAAATTTGACTCTTCTCAAGCAGAATGCCCTTTCTAGGAGTCTGATACAGGTCTGTTTGATCATCTCAAAGGGGATATAGATAGAAGATGATAACTTGGGCAGATGGCAGGGTCATGAGAAGGTTTTTTTAAGGATGGAGGAGATACTGACCTATCTATAGGCTGCAGGGAAGAAGCCTGGGGATAAGGAAAGATCAAAGATCAACCAATCAATCAGGCACTGTGCTAGGGGTTAGGAATACAGAGACTAAAACCAAAAAAGTCCCTATCTTTAAGGAGTTTACATGCTACTGGGAGGAAAAAAAAAGGTACATAGAGAAGTCAACACAAAACATAAGAAAAATAATTACAAGGTAACTTTTTAATTTGGGGGAGGGCTCAGAAAGAGGTAGCCCTTGAGCTGAGCTCTCAAGTGTGACCATGGATCAGAAGCCTCCCCAAAGACCCCTGGATAACAAGGCCTGGGTGATATCCTGTGGGGGAAGGGCCAACCCCAAAATGTCATTTTATCTTTCTGGCTTGTTTTGCCCCCATTCCAGAGTTTTACTCCAGACAAATCTCCAAAATAAAGCTTCGGTCAGAGACAACTGAAATGACTGAACAACAAGGCTGTAAAGGGAAGAAAGTGAGGTCAGAGAAGGGAAGATGGACCAAGGGTGGGGTGGAGAGGTGCAGGGTAGGGTGAGAAGGAAGAATAGGTTAGGAGGGACCTTACAGGTCATCTAGTTCTTAAGATCAAAGGATCATAGATTTTAGAGCACACAGATCATCTCATCTAACCTCAGTTTGCAGATGGGGAAACTGAGGTCCAGGGTGATGAAGTGACTTGTTTGTTAAAGGTAACACAGAAAAGTACCAGTCAGGGCTTGACCCCATGTCCCTTGACTCCAAATGCAGCAATCTCTCCAATACACCAAAATCATGGAAACGGAAGAGTTTTAGGTGATGGTGAAATCTAAGGTGTCAGCACCTGTGCGGTTTGACAGAGTAGAGTCGGAGTTGATGGGAGTTGAAGAGATTAATGAACTGGGAGACCAGGGCGTTATAAGGTCTGTTGGCATGAGCCATGAGCCAAGTGCTCAACTTCTGGAGGAAGGAGAGAACATGATCTGGAGCTTAGTAGATAACAGCAACAAACATCTGGATAGGGTCTGATGACAGAAATGTAAAATGGAAAGGTCGCTGAGCACCGGTGCAGAGAGAGGGTCTCAAAGTGGCCAGACAGAGTGGCCAAGACTGTGGTCACAAGACATACACTACCCTCAGGATAAAGCCAGGTTTGAGTTACTGCCTGAAGGTAGAAAGAATAGGAAGGGAAGAGATGGAGGATGAAGGAGAGCTTGTTAACAAAATGAGTGGAAATTCCACAGGGCACAATGGAAGGGGAAAGCAGAGGAGGGGAAGGAATTGGGCTCAGTTGTATAGGGATGAGCATTCAGGAAGACACAGCAGGGGAAAGAGAATTCCTCTAAATCAGGTGGAAATGATGAACCACAGGGATTAGTGAAGCAGGAGGTAGCAATTTGCCAGCAACAGGGCAGGGGGAGAATTAAGGAGGGAGACTATGACCAGGGTCTGCTCCTTTCCTGATTGAGCCTAATGCTTCAAGGCCCTCCCCACTTTATTTCATCTTCCACAAAGCTGCCAAACGCCTGCATTATTCCTCAACTCATCAAATTCTAGTGGCTCTTTGTTGCCTCTAGAATTACAAACTGCTCTGCTCGGCCCTTCACAACCTAGTCCCAAACTACTTTTCCAGCCTCAATATACATTACTCCCATAGTGGAACTTTAGTGCAGCCAACCAGGCTCCTCCTGCCGTTCCCCACACAACCTGTCAGTGTGTTTGCAACGGCCGTACCTCCATATGTGGAGTGCACTTTCTCCCCATCTCTGCCTCTGAGAATCCCATACTTTCATCAGGAGTCAGCTCAAGCATACTTCCAAGAAGTCTCTTCTGATCCCCACAACAGCTAGCGCCCACCACCCCAAACTGCCTTTCATTTATTTTGTGTTTGTTCTGCATCTATTACGTAGGCACCTGTTTCCCCTGGGAGCTCCTTGAAGGCAGGGGCTGGGTTTTTCTCTTTTTGTATTCCCAACAACTAGCATCATGCCTAGCACATATTGGGAGCTTAATAAATGGTGCGTGACGGGCTGTGTCCCTCAAAGGTTAACCCTGCCTCCAGCCCAGAGCCCCGCCCCCCGCCCAGAGCCCCGGCCCAATATGGCCCCGCCCCCTAGAGCTCCGCCTGTCAGTTACCTGGAGCCTCAGCGGGTCCCTAGCCGCTCCCGCCTTCCATACTGGAGGCAGGCTCTGGAGGGCCCTCCGAGCCACAAACAGCACGGGGCCCCGACCTTCCCCCGCTGCCACCAGGGCCACCGCGAACAGCAATGCCGTCTTCCCGGAGCCCGGCTCCCCGCGCAGCAGAAGGCCGCTACCTTCCCCAGCGGCACAACCTTCTCCGTCAACCTCTGCCCCAAGACTCAGCAGCCGCTGCAGAGCCTCCATGCCCGCTCTCAGCCCTCCCTCCGCGCTGGACACGCGACCAATCAGAGCGCTCCTCTGCGCTAATCCCTCCCTCTTGGAGACGTTCCATTGGCTTAGGCTCAGTTCACTTAGGCTGCTCGCCGGAGGAGCCCCGCGTTTGTCCGGCCCCGCTCCCAATGGGCGGTCACTCCACGTGGTTTTTCCAGTCTCGATTGTTATCTGGGGCACTGTCTTCCATGGCGCCTCCTACTGCGCTCTCCTAGGTCACGGAGCCCCACTAATTCATTTTCTCTTTCCCTCTTCTTTGTCTCTTCTCTAGTGCCTTCCGTCAGTTAAGCATTTCCTATTTTTCCTGCTTATAGCTTGCTTTGTGTATATTTGCATGTTGTCTCCCCCATTAGATTGTAAGCTCCTTGAAGTCTGGGATTGTATTTTGCCTCTTTTTGTATAACTAGCACTTAACACAGTGCCCGGCACATAGCAGGCGCTTAATAAACGTTTATTGATTGATCTTGCGTTCTCCAATATCTTTAAACGCCATCTTTTGTCTCTACTGCATCTTCCTGTTTGTTTCTCAATCAAGTATTTATTAAGTACCTACTATGTGAAATCCCTGGAAATACAAGGACAAATAATGAAGAGATTCCTACACACAACAAGCCTAATTAAACAAATACCTTCTATAACTAAAGTTCCTATCGGTAGAATCGTAGACCAGAAGGTGAGAAAGAGAGAAAGTTAGTACCAAGTACCTGAAGCCTTCCAACAGGATAGAATGGTGAGCCAGGAGGAAGGGATCTCCCTTCCCATGCTCCCCTTGTTTATACTCTGACTTTGAGCTGGAATCCTAGACTCATGCCTCTCCCACCTTATTCCATTTCTATGGTCTTTAGGTCAGTGAATTTCAGGAATCCCTGACTATATACAAAGAACTGGGAGGGTAAGAAGGAGAAGTTTGGGGAGATTGTTAGCAGCCAAAGGCACCATATAGGAAACACAACATTTTTCTTTTCACTTTTTTTTCTTTCTTTTTTTTTTGTGAGCCAATTGGGGTTAAGTGACTCGCCCAGGGTCACACAGCTAGTTAAGTGTCAAGTGTCTGAGGTCGGATTTGAACTCAGGTCCTCCTAATTCCAGAGCCCGTGCTCTATCCATTGTGCTACCTAGCTGCCCCCTTTTATTTTCATTTTTAAAAATAAGTGATATAGCCACAGTATGTTGAGTGCTTATCCAGGGGTGGAGAACCTGTAGCCTGAGCCCTTATGTGCTTCCCCACCCCTGGCTTATGCCATGTGAACATGGGGGAGAGAGAGAAGAGATTCTAGTTGTAAAACGGGCATGTTAGAATTAGAGATTTCTTGCTTTTAAAAAATCATTTTGGGCAATATTCCCTCTCATCCCCTGGTTAAATTTCTAGCCTAGCCAGTGCTACCATGTAATTTGGTTGGGATGTGAGGAGTAGTCTAACACCCCTTAGGGGTTAATGGAGGTACTTCAACCTTTTGGGATGCTATGCTATGTCAGACCCAGACAGGAACTGAGGTTACTACTGGGCCAGTAACTCAAGGAGAATGACGGTTGGTGGGCAAATCAGGTATATCACTCCATTGATGGAATTGTCACAGTATACACAAAAAAAAACCAGTCCAAATGTCTCTGGTATATCTCTCCTCCTCATAGTCAAACTCCTTGAAAGAGCTATGTTACTTTTCTCTACTTTCCTGTCACTCAACCACTTTCAATATGGATTCCAACAGCATCACTCAGTGGAAATTGCTCTCTCCAAGGTAATCAATGTTTTCTTAGTTGCCATTGTATTGACTTTTTTCTCAGTCCTCATTCTTCTTGACCTCTCTGCTGTGTTTGATGCTGTTGGCAATTTTGTCCCCCAAGTATTTTCTCTCTCTTAGATTTTTATGAGCCTGTTCTCCTTTCTGGGGCAGCTAGGTGGCAAAGTGGATAGAGTACTGGGCCTGGAGTTAGGAAGACTCATCTTCATGAGTTTAAATCTGTCCTCAGACACTAGCTGTGTGGCCCTGGGCAAGTTACTTAATCCAGTTTGCCTTAGTTTCCTCATCCGGAAAATGACCTGAAGAAGGAAATGGCAAACCACTGCAGTATCTTTGCCAAGAAAACCCCAAATGGAGTCATGAAGAGTCAGACACAACTGAACAACAACAACAGAACTCTCATTTTTTCCTAACTGTATAATCATTTCTTCTCAATCTCTGTTGCTGATCATTATCCGTGTCACATCCCCTACTTGTGTGTTTACCCTCAAGACTATATCCTGGGCCCTCCCCTTTTTTTTTTCTCTACATTCTTGTTTGGGGAGCCCATCAGCTCTCGTGGATTCAGCTATCATCTCCATGCAGATGACTCCCAGATTTATATATCAAACTTTCATTTCTCGAGTTCCTGGCTTGCGTTCACCAAGTGAATATTGGACATCTTCAACTAAATCTTCATAGGAATCTCATAGGAATGAGGAATCTCATTCATAGGAATCTCAAACTTAACATGTCCAAAACGGAACTCATTACCTTTCCTTTCAAACTTACTCCTCTTCTTAACTTCTGTATTTCTCCTTAGGGTATGCCCATCCTTCCAGTCAGTTGGAAGCACAGGAACCCTGGAAGAGGCAGCATCCTCCCTGATTACTGGTTCTGCTTTCAGACCAGCTATCATCTGGGGAGGCAGCTCTTGTGGAGAAGGTGTCAGGCATCCTCACTGACTGTTGACCAATTGTCATTCACCAGGCAGGCAAGCCAGCCTAGCTGAAGCAGCAAGGCACCCTTGGGGAGAGATAGGAGGCAGCATGTGCCAGGTGGGCAGACTACCTCTCTACCTTAACCACAATATCCCCTCAGACCCTGATGGAAATAGCCCAGAATCCTGAACCCAAGAGCCTTGGGAATGGCAATACTTCCAGGCAAGTGCATTTAGCCATTATCCTGGGAAGCAACTGCTGTGGGTGCTCCCCACAGAAGACCCAGAAAAGAAAATTCTTGTCACCAAAGTCTTTGGCATCATCAAATGGTTCAACATCAGAAACTGATATGATTTTATCAGTGGGAATGACATTTAAAGAGTCATTACCACCTGCTTTGCTGCTGCACCCTAAGGACCATGGGACTTTCTATCTGACTTGCCCCTGAAATCTTCTGTATGTGCTGTCTCTCCCATTTAGAATGTGAGCGCCTTGAGAGCAGACATTGTCACATTTGTATCCCTAGCATTTAGCACATTGCTCTGCGAATAATAAACACTTCATTCATTCATTCTAGGTTTCTAATTGCAAAGTTTCAGAATCGTTCCCAATTCTTTACTCTTCCTTACCTCTCCATTTCTAATTATTTGCCAAGTCTTACTGGTTCTACTTCCACAAAATCTCAGCCACTGCCATAGTTCTGGTCTTCATCACCTTTCATTAAAGTACTCTCCTAATGTGTCTCTCCTCTCCAGCCCAACCCTCTAAATAACTACCCAATGAATATTCTTAAAGGGACATGAACATGGCACTCTCCTATTCAAGAAAATTCAGATCCTTCTTATTGCCTCTGAAACAACATATGCACACCTCTGGTTGGCATTTAAAACTCTTCATAATCTTTATCTTCAGGCTAGTTTCACCTTACTACACCTCACTAATTCTGCATTCCAGCCAAACTGACATATGTGCGTTTTGCCATGCAAAACATTCCATCTCTAGTAACCATGGCTCTGTACAGGCTGTCCCCTCAGTGCCTGGAAGGCACTCCCTCCTCACCCCAACCTCTGGAATCTCTTGTTTCTTTCAGGTTTCTGCTCAAGTACCTCCTACTACTAGAAGTCTTCTTGATTTCTTCCCCTCCACTTATACACTCTTGTTATGCCCCACCCCCACTAAAATGACTTTGTGTTTAGTTTACATATGTGAGGCAGCTTTATACTTGAATCTGTAGCTGTTTTCCTTTCTGTTTCCCCCCCAGAGAGGGGAAGATCCAAGATCCATCCAAGAGAGATGGAAATACAGAACTAAATGGCCCTAGGATAGGCACTACCATAAATGGCAATTGTCAGAGGTCATGCTGATCTAGGAGGACTTAGGTTATCATTTTTTCACTTTTAAAAATATTTATTTATTTAGTACAAGTGTTTATTATATCTCTTTCCTATTGTGCATTGAACAGTTTAGAAAAAGAAAAAGAAACTCCTCATAATGGATATGGATAGGCAAGCACAACAGCTTCCCATACTGTCCATGCCTTAAAATGTATGTTTCCTCTCTGGCAGGAGGTGGGTAGAATGTTTCATCTTCCGTCTTCTGGACTCATGGCTTATCATTGCATATATAGGGTTCTCAAATCATTCAAAGATATTTTTCTCTATAATGTTATTGTCACTATATGATCGCTCTCCTAGTTCTGTTCACTTCACATCAGTTCATAAAGGGCTTCCCAGTTTCCAACGAGACTTCCATTTTGTCATTTTTTGTGGCACAGTAATATTTCATTCCATTCATATTCCATAATTTGTTTGGCCATTCCCCAGTTGGTCAAGCAGAGCATTCTTCAGAGTATCCCTCACCAGATGGAGATATGGCTGCTTCAGGTTCCTGTTGCTGAGGGGGCATTGGATGGTTTTCCCAACATTTTGGTGCTCACAGAGTTGTAACCTGATCAACGTAATTTCTAAATACTCAGTCATCTACAACCAGGATACATTTCCAGAATAGGAAAGGATAAACACAAGCGACCAAAGAGACAGATATGGTATGTTCATGGCCATGCAGTTGGTCTGGTGGGGAGATAAATCTGCCATGGCAGGTGACTGTCACTGCCCCTCTTCCAGCCTCTCAGAAGCCCAGAGCAGTTCTTCCTCCTCCTCACTCAAAAGCCACCAGGGAAGGAAATGAGAGTTCTTTTGCTCAAAACTTGTATATGCACACTCAGTTCAGGCTCGTGACCCAGTTAGAAGGCTGTCCATTATCACAAGTAAACCAACAGGAAATGGAACAGTACTTTTGTGCGCTCTGAAATGGGAAAGAAAAAGGT